GAAGTCGGCCGCTCAACCGACGGAGCCACCCAGGCGCCCCTAAATGTTATCTTTTTAAAATTAACTCAAGACTTGAAAAACCAGACCTTAGGCTAAATGTGGACAGACATATTTTAGAGAACCGGCCTGTTCTAGGATGATGTTTTTCATGTTCTAACCTGAAATATCCCAAAACATTTAGACTATTATCTTCTCTCATCTTTTTCCTCCTCCTCGTTCCCCAGCTAATTAAGACACGGGAGGTTTTGTTTTTGTGACGAAATTCATCGCCTCTTTAAAATTCAGCAAGGTTCGGTAACTGGGAGGCAGTAGACTTTTGCTTAATTCTGTAATATGGATTATACAATAGTGTAAAGCCTTTTTAAAAATTTATTTAATGTTTATTTATTTTTGAGAGAGAGAGAGAGAGACACAGAGCATGAGTGGAGGGGAGGAGGGAGAGGGAGACAGAGAGTCCGACGCTGGCTCCAGGCCCTGAGCTGTCAGCACGGAGCTCGACAGGACACGCGGCTCGAACTCACGAACCATGAGATCATGACCTGAGCTAGAGTCAGGTGCTTAACCGACTGAGCCACCAGGTGCGCCTATGGTGTAAAGTCTTTATCTTGCTTCCTTGCTAGATCCGCCTGGGCGTTTCCCCCTCATTATTTTGGCAGGATAGGAAATAACTGACTGAAGAGTACTATTGAAACATTTTGACCTTCACTATATACCCTTCAAAATGTGAATGGACAATTGGACTTTGTGTTTCTAATTGTCTACAGATGTACTGTCCTGTAAGTCAAAAGGAAAAAACTCTTTATCATTATGTTTTGTTTGTTTTTTTTTTTAAGTGTAAATTGGGTAATTGCTTCCCCTGCTGGTCAAATAAACCTATAAATATAGCTGAGGGGAGGTGATTTTCCTTGATAAAGCCATTATGTTAGAAATATATGTTAGAAAAAAAATTACCTTATATTTAGGGAAATAGCATAGCCTTTCTGGCTAACCAGAGGGTAATGGACAAAATGCAAAGCGTGTTTTATAGTACACCCCAATGGGATAAGACTGAATGAGATTTTATGAGATTTTATGCTGTGAATAATCTGCCTAAAAATACGTTATCTTTTGCTTCCCTCTCTCCCCTCCTTTTTTCTTGAAAGAACAATTTTTTAAAGAATTCTGTCCTTGAAGCTTCTGAAAATTTTCAGTTTTATATCAAAAATCTGTGATTCCCATAAATTGCAAAAGGATTTTTCTTGTGCAGTCATACACAGACTTACAAAGACTTACTGTAGATGTCAATAACATAACTTCTCTCCAGAGAAGGAACATTCCCACTATTTCTTCCCTAAGGACCCTCCACTCCTATCACCAGTGTGACTATGCCTGGCTGTGAGTCCAATAGCATGATTTAATCTCATATATTTCTAGAAATATATACTATTAGTATATAGTATATATACCTATATACTATTTGTGTGAAGGCTCTTTTAAAAGAGAATGGAGGGGCGCCTCTCTGTCTATCTGTGCTCACGCTCTGTCTGTCTCTCTCAAAAATGAATAAACATTTAAAAATTTTTAAATTTTGGGGTGCCTGGGTGGCTCAGTCTGTTAAGTGTCCGACTTCAGCTCAGGTCACGATCTCGCGGTCTGCGAGTTCGAGCCCCGCGTCGGGCTCTG